GGTAATAAAGATAATAATACTAATGATAATATCAATAATAATAATAACAATTTCAATAACAGTAGCAATAATAATAATGATAATAACAATGATAATAATGATAATAATAATAATAATGATAATAATAATAATAATAATAATATTAATAACAATACTAATAATAAAGATGATAAAAATAATGATGATGATAATAATAATCATAATAATAATAATAATAATAATAACAACTAGAAAAGCACTCAGAGAGTGCAGACCTCCGCCAAGGTGCGTATATAATGTACCCACACCGCTGCTGCGTCCAGACGGTAATTCGGAATGTCAGTGAAATGTGGTACACGTTTACCGTAGATTTGTGTACTTTATTGATTAATTAATGATAATAATGATAATAACCAGACGGTAATTCGGAATGTCCCCAAAACTTAATTTGTTCTAAGTTAGTCCCTTTCTGACTTGTCCCCAAAAATTCGATGAAATCCGACCAGCACTTTTTGAGCTAGGCTGCTAACAAACAAACTAACCAGCAAACCAACGCCGTCAAAAACATAACCTCCTCGGTGGAGGTAATAATAATAATAATAATAATAATAAAATAATAATCTAATAATAATTGGTATTAATAATAACAATAACAATAATGATGATTTTAATGAGAGCATAATGTTAATGATAATAATGATGTAATAATGATGTAATAATGATATTATTAATTAGAGAAAACAATAATGATGATGATAATAATAATAATAATAATAGTAATAATGATGATAATAATAATAATAATAATAATAATAATAATAATAATAATGATAATAATAAAAGTAATAATCTAATAATAATGAATAATAACAATAACAATAATGATAATTTTAATGAAAGCATAATGTTAATGATAATGATGATGGTGATAATAATAATAATGATGATAGTCATGATAACAATAATGATAATGGCAATGGTTATGATAATGTTAGTTATCATCACTGTTGTTTTGTTTGTTATCATTATTACTTTTATTGTTGCCATTACTATTATTGCCATTTCTGTCATTATTATTATTACGATGATTTCATCTTTATACTTCATGTTATTATCACCATTGTATTAATAATAACTTTATCATCATCGTAATAATTTTCATAATATTATTGTAATCATTATTATTATTATCACCATCATCATTATCACCTTTAAGATACGGACACCATTCTTATACCTGAACTTTTTTAGGATGTTATATCGTTCCACTTGAATGAACAAGAGGCCAGCAAACACCATGAACATTGAGAGGAACAGCAGAACCCACGTCTTGGAACGAAACATCAGTCAATTATATTCTGTCTCAAGAAGGGAATCTGAATATATTGTAGGCTAGTTATAAATAGGGTAAGAATGTGAACTTATGTGATAAAGCTTCAGAAAAAAAAAAATTGAGTATGATTTTGTTTCATGTTCTGTGCCAGAGCATTCATCATCAATATATTAGCTTAGAACAGTCGAATGTAAAGCTTAATATTCAGTTTTTTGACTTAAATTGAATCTGAATTCCCAATTTGATTTGATTTTTTAAAAACTTTAATATGACTTCAAAACATTTTAGTTATTTTCTAATCTTTTTCGCAATAAGTTCACCGAATTCAAACTCGATTCTCCGCAACGACACTCACAGACACAGTATAAGGCTTCACGAAACCGCTGATATCAGGCTCATAAGTCGGACGAGCGTAAGCCAGAGCGTGGTCGTTAACGTAGAGAGGAACGCTGAAATCCACGGCTGTCGAGCGAGCGTAGTTCACGGATAACATTACGCCGGACATGTTGACTTCCTGGGGTGGAGAAAGGGGTTTAAGAAAGGTATGTTGGGGGAGGGAAAGGGGGGAGAAGAGGGAGGGAGGGAAGGAGAGGGAGGAGAGAAAGAGAGAAAAGGGAGGGAGCGATGGAGAGAGAGAGAGAGAGAGAGAGAGAGAGAGAGAGAGAGAGAGAGAGAGAGAGAGAGAGAGAGAGAGAAAGAGACAGACCCACATAAATACAGAGACATAGACATGTAGAGAAAAGTTGGGGAACAAAGACAAAAGGATCTTGATAAGAAAGATACACAGAGGAAAAGAAAGAAAGAAAGAAAGTAAAAGTTCACACAGATATATCAAAATAACAAATACTACACATATTTACCCTTCGGAGTATCTGCCCAACAATCCCAGTCCAGGAATCGTTGACGAACTGCCCGAATTCATAATCCTCGGGAATCACGAATTCGTAGCTTTTTTTTGGCGATAAATTGGTAATAGTATTTTAGTTCGTGTTGAATATGGAAAAAATAAATGTGTATATATTATAAGATAAAATGGTATTAAATAAACCAGAGAGAAAGTATAGTCTGAGATATTTACGTTTCATTTTTTGAAATACAACACGTATCTTGGCTGTCTCTCTCTCTCTCTCTCTCTCTCTCTCTCACTCTCTCCCTCTCTCTCTCTCTCTCTCTCTGTCTCTCTCTCTCTCTCTCTCTCTCTCTCTCTCTCTCTCTCTCTCCCTCTCTCTCTCTCTCTCTCTCTCTCTCTCTTTCTCTTCCTCCCCACCTTCATCTATCCCTCCCACTTCCCTTCCTCTTTCCTTCATCATCTTCCCTCCTTCCTCCTCTCTCTCTCTCTCTCTCTCTCTCTCTCTCTCTCTCTCTCTCTCTCTCTCTCTCTCTCTCTCTCTCTCTCTCTCTCTCTCTCTCTCTCCCTCTCTCTCTCTCTCTCTCTCTTTCTCTCTTTCTCTTCCTCCCCACCTTCATCTATCCCTCCCACTTCCCTTCCTCTTTCCTTCATCATCTTCCCTCCTTCCTCCTCTCTCTCTCTCTCTCTCTCTCTCTCTCTCTCTCTCTCTCTCTCTCTCTCTCTCTCTCTCTCTCTCTCTCTCTCTCTCTCTCTCCCTCTCTCTCTCTCTCTCTCTCTTTCTCTCTTTCTCTTCCTCCCCACCTTCATCTATCCCTCCCACTTCCCTTCCTCTTTCCTTCATCATCTTCCCTCCTTCCTCCTCTCTCTCTCTCTCTCTCTCTCTCTCTCTCTCTCTCTCTCTCTCTCTCTCTCTCTCTCTCTCTCTCTCTCTCTCTCTCTCTCTCTCTCTCCCTCCCTCTCTCTTCGACTGATGTAGAAGAGGTACGAAAGAGAGTGAATATCTCTTGTACTGTGAAGATATTCATACATATTATAAGACGAAATGGTATTAAATAAACCAGAGAGTAAGTATAGACTGAGATACTTACGTTTCATTTTTAAAATACAACGCGTATCTTGGCTCTCTCTCTCTCTCTCTCTCTCTCTCTCTCTCTCTCTCTCTCTCTCTCTCTCTCTCTATCTATCTATCTATCTATCTATCTATCTATCTCTCTCTCTCTCTTTCTCTTCCTCCCCACCTTCATTTATCCCTCCCACCTCTCTTCCTCTTTCTTTCATCATCTTCCCCCCCTCCTCCCTTCTCTCTCTCTCTCTCTCTCTCTCTCTCTCTCTCTCTCTCTCTCTCTCTCTCTCTCTTTCCCTCTCTTTCTCTTCCTCCCCACCTTCATCTATCCCTCCCACATCTCTTCCTCTTTCCTTCATCATCTTCCCCCCCTCCTCCCCTCTCTCTCTCTCTCTCTTCGAGTGAGCCCTCCTTATAAACTGCACTCGTGTTGACAAATGTAGAAGAGGTACGAAAGAGAGTGAATATCTCTTGTACTGTGAAGAGATAATTACGTTTCATTTGTAAAATACACACACAACACGTATCTTGGCTCTCTCTCTCTCTCTCTCTCTCTCTCTCTCTCTCTCTCTCTCTCTCTCTCTCTCTCTCTCTCTCTCTCTCTCTCTCTCCCTCTCTCTCTCTCTTTCTCTTTCTCTTCCTCCCCACTTTCATCTATCCCTCCCACCTCTCTTCCTCTTTCCTTCATCATCTTCCCCCCTTCCTCCCCTCTCTCTCTCTCTTCGACTGAGCCCCCCCTGCACTCGTGTTGACAAATGTAGAAGAGGTACGAAAGAGAACGAATATTCATACATATTATAAGACGAAATGGTATTAAATAAACCAGAGAGAAAGTATAGTCTGAGATATTTACGTTTCAATTTTAAAATACAACACGTATCTTGACTGGCTCTCTCTCTCTCTCTCTCTCTCTCTCTCTCTCTCTCTCTCTCTCTCTCTCTCTCTCTCTCTCTCTCTCTCTCTCTCTCTCTCTCTCTTTCCTTCGCATTCATACCTCCCCCCTCCTCCCCTGGATGAACTCACCACACGCCCAGCTTCTCGGCGATGATATCCACAACGGAGATCATGGAGCCAGAGACCGTTTCGTGCGGATGTTTTCCCGACAGGACCACGTGGGGAAGCCACTGGGAAGGGAGAACAGGAAAAGCAAATTAGGACAAATCAGCGAGGGCTCTTAGGAATACAATTTTATTGGATTTTGTTTCATAGGGTGAAATGAAGTGGGCGACAAGAGACCGAAATGTAGAGCGGGTTTTTTATTTTATTTTGTTAATGTTATTGTTATGATTATTATTATCCCATATGATAATTATTATTGTTACTATTATTGTTATCATTTCCATTATTGTTAATAACCATTATTATTATCAATAATAGTAGTAGTAGTAGCAGTAGTATCATTATTTTTTGTTGTTGTTGCTACCGTTATTATTATTACTATTATTATCATCATCAGTACTATAGAGGTAGTGGTAGCAGTATTATTTCTATTATTGAAATGGCACTTAGTTATGCATTAGTCTATCAGTGCTTCTATCTTAAGCTTTCGTTAAGGCAATTTTTACATATCTATTCTGGTCATCATTCTCCATCTATAATCATATCTATCTGTAACTCAATATGTCTATCCAGTTGCACGTGTAAATGTCTTTGTGTGTGTATGCCTGTGGATGCTTGCTATAAATTTCTCTACAGACTTCCATTGTTTTGTGGATATATAAAATTGCTTATCAACTTACCGTATTCATTGCCAACCTTAGGCAGGGTGTTGACATGTTGACAGACGAGCTTCAACTAACAGTCAAGAGCTGCCAATTGCCTTTTATTAACGATTGCTCTAATCCAGAATGAGGAAGTCTCCCGAAATGCAATCAATTAAAAATTAAAGACGTTTAATTAAGTCAGTTAACTCTCAATTGATACCGGAAGAAGAGCCCGTAACCCCGCTCTCTTAACGTATATTATCAACAGGATAATGTAAAAACCAATATTAACAAGCACTTTTCCAAAAACGAAAAGAAACACGTAAATAAGGATTCAACATCCTGGCCCGGCCTTTGTTAATCTCATCTATATAAATATCCCCTTTATCTTTATTTTATTTTATTTTCATTTCCAATACACTCGCGAAAAAAACGCTTTCTCTTAAATATACGGAAATGAAACGGGAATGATGAGGCTTTAGTATTCGTCACAAATAACATGAATTTGAAATGTCAATTAATTCAGGGAGCATTTAATCGGAAGAGCATACAATTAACTCTATAGGTTAATTAAATACTGCGAAGGTTGAATTAAAAAAGTATACAACAAAATACAACAACAACTAACAAATATTTACACATTGCGATATATATGGATTATCTATCTGTGTAAATTCTTATATACTTAACACTCTATCGGTCTATCTTCCTGTATACACGCTCACGTAAACATATTGTGAAATTAATAGGAATTATACTGACGACGATGATAATAATTATAATTATAATGATGATCATGATAATGAGGACGATAATAATGATAATAGTGATAATGTTAATAATAATAATATTGGTAACAGTGGTTCTAACAGTGATAATGACAATAATAGCGATAATAATGATGGTCATAATAACAATGATAATGATAATAATTGTAATAATAGTATCAGTAATAACGATATTAATAGTAATGATGATAGCAATAATAAAGATAATAATGATAACAATAATGATAATAACAACAGTGGTAGTAGTAGTAATAGTAATAAAATCATAATAATGATAACAGTACTACTACTACTACTACTACTATAAGTATAATAATAAAGATTGCAGTAATAATAAGGATAATGATAACAAGAATGATAAGAATAATGACAACAATGATAATAATAATAATGATACTAATGATAATAATAATCAGAATTTAATGATGATAATAATAACAATGATAACAATAATAATAACGAAAATAATAACAATGAAAATAATAATAATAAAAATACTAGTTTCAATAATAATGATGTTAATGGTAAAAAAATCACAATCTGATAACAGTAATAATAGTAATAGTAATAATAATAATAATAATAATAATAATAATAATAATAATAATAATAACAATAATAATGATAATAATAATAATAAAAATAGTAATAATAATAATAATGATAATAATAATAATAATAATAATAACAATAATAATAATTATTATTATTAGTATTAGTATTATTATCATTACAATGATGGTGATAACAATAATGATGAAAATAACAACAACAACAACAATAATGATAATAATAATGATATTGATAATAATAATAATAATAATAATAATAATAATAATAATAATAATAATAACAATACTACTACTACTACTACTACTACTACTACTACTAATAATAATAATAATGATAATAATAATACCAATAATGATAATGATAATGATAATAATAATAATAATAACAATAATAATAATAATAATAGTAATAATAATAATAATAATAATAATTATAATAACAATATCAGTGATGATATTGATAACAATAAAAATAATATCGGTAATTCATTGTGTTTTATCATTCACAATTACCCGCACCTATGTTTAATTTTTCATATTCCTTATTATTACACGTAGAGCTCGGTGCCTTTTAATATGTGTCATCCTTTTGGTCTTTTGCAGAAGATAAATTGTGAGTATGTGATGTGTCGTTTACCCTTGCAATATAGGCTTTACTGCAGCATCAGAAACCTCGACCAGGAATATTATACTAAATGTTTCATTCATTAATTTCAGTTCCAGTTTCAAGTCATGTCGAAAAGTTTTAATATGTTATGTTTCACAATTTATTTTTTTCTTTACAATGCGAACAGATTGTCGATTTAACTTGTCATAAAGCGTATTAGAAACTTTCGCTTACAGTTTAATTAGTTATATGAGGAATGCTGATATTGAGAATACGTCTTATAGAAAACGTTTTCGTGACATTCTGTTTTACTTTTCGTATTAAATAAACCGTTTTTTTTTCTTGTTTAACTTCTAATTCGTTCAAGATTTGCTTTAATCCTCTTAATATATTTAGTCAATTATATCAGTACTATCATCTTAATAAATATAGATAGATAAATATAAAAAAAGGCTGTTGGGATATAACAGTAAACGAACCGTAGGAGTTCGATCATTTGATGTAATATATAACATTAAACGTGTTCTATAAATTGTATCCTATTTCGTTCCTTTTTCCTTATTCTTCTTCCACCCTGAACTTTTTTTTCTTTAGTTTATATTTAT